TCTCTTCGGCCGCATCGGCGTTGCAGCTCGGTCCCAGGGTTGAGGGTTTAGGGTTTAGGGTTTAGGGTCTAGGGTCTCTTCGGCCGCATCGGCGTTGCAGCTCGGTCTCAGTGGGAGCTTCAGAAGACCGCAAATCGTGGGATTAGGGTTACCCTAAACCCTAAACCCTAGACCCTAAACACCCTAAACCCTAAACCCTAGGGAGTAGCTAAGCCTTTGGGGGTGGGGTTTCGGGATGGGGCTTTTGCGTGTTGTTTGGGTTTCGCGCCTATGGTTCCTGGGTCTAGGATTGTTGGATTTTTACGAGTTTGGGTTTCTGGGTGTAGGCTTAGGATTTTTGTGGTTTGGGGGGGGACTTAGAGTTTAAGGATCAGCAGTGCTGTGGTTAGGATTTCGGCTTCTTGGGTTTGATTTTTTTATTTGATTCACGGTGTTGGGGGTCAGGGTTTAAGGTTTTTGGGCTTTCGGGTTCATGTTTCTGGAGGATTTTAGGTTCTAGCTTTCGTATCTAGGCTACAAGGTCTTCGTTTACGTTTTCAGGGTCGGGCTAGAGTTTAAGGCTTAGGGTTTACGATCAGTTGGCTGCGTGTGGGCTGGTTGGGATACAAGCAACACACACACACACACACACACACACACATAAAGCGCGTGTCAGCCCACCCAAGACCACACAGCTCAGATGCTTTCGATGGTTGGGGAGGAGAATATTAGGGGCCTAAATAGTTACCAAGACTATTTTGGGGCTTCCTTATTAGAAATATAGTATAATGGGCCCCAAAACCTTATTCTAATTATTAAGGCACGTACATTACGATAGGTGAAAACCCAAGCGTAAGTTTCAAAGCATGACCCCGTTCTTGGGTGGATGGGGGTTTGATCTTCCAAGTTGAGTGTGCTCGTAGGGGGAGGCAGGAGGAGTGCCCTCTGCTCTCGTCGCCGTCTTTCTATTTCTGGTTCACTTCGAACTTTGATGGCATATTTCTGCCCTTTGGAGTGATAATTACCTATTTATTGTTGGGGTTCCTTGTTATAAATATAGTATAATGGGCCGCAAACCCTATTCTAACTATTAAGGCCCTGCAGTACCTAAACGTGTATCTAGGGACCCTAAACCCTGCATCCCGTGTTCTGCCTCCGAGGGCCTGGATCTGATATCTCTGATAAGAACAATGATAGTAACAACAACAGTCATAATAGTGATAGTTCTAATAGTCATAGTTATAATGCAGGAGCTATAATAGTAACAAGAACAGTCATAATAGTAGTAGCCATAATAGCAACAATCATGGTAATCAGCCCGAAGCCCGGAACCGTAAAACCCTAAAGCCCTAAACCCAAAACCCTACTGTAAACCCTAAAGACATGGTAAGAATGGTGATGATTCGCTTCCGTCTTCTTGTCTGCATCCTTTGTCCTGCGCTTGGCGCTGTGCAGTTTGCTCTTCATTCCTTCCCAAATAGTCCCTGAAGCTCTGGGTTGCTTTTAGGTTTGGGGTTTAGGGTTTAGGTTTTAGGGTTTAGGGTTTAGGGTATAGGGTGCTTACGAGGTGGTTTGTAATATGTCACAGGATTGAAAGTCCTTCCTACCCGGATATGGTGTGGGCAGATGCCCTTAGATACTTCACCCCCCCCCCCCTTAGCGCCAGCTGGATGCGCGTAGTCTCCTTTCGCATGCGGAAGCTTCACGGACCTGCATCTACTTCGGGATCAGGACGTGTTCGAGCTTCCGAGAGTTTAGAGCGTTTTTCTCGCGTGCGAAGTGGGTTCTAAGATCTGGCGAGCCATCGTCACATATACTTGTAGCCCCAAGGTCGATACGCACAATTGTCAATGATGTGCAAATGCCAAAGCCTAGCCTGTCAACCTGACCCCAAACCTTCAAAACCCTGCATGTAACTTCTACCCCGATTTCTGACTTTCCATGAACCTCCGATGACGACTTCCCGATACCTAGATCCCTGCGTTGAAACGTGAAACCCCACATCCAAGACCCACAGCCCAACACCCTTCGCCGAAAGTTAAAACCCACAACCAATATCCTAAACCTTAACCCCGAACCCAAAGCCCAACACCCCAGGTACAAAACGACTCAACAAGAAACCCTAAACCCTAAACCCTGCTCCTTGGCTGCCTCTTCTTCGTCCTGTACCTGCTTCGGTGCTACCTGTTCAGTAGGAAGTTCCTGCACAGGCAGGGGCGACAGCAGTCGAACCCATCATCCCTAAACCGTAAACCCAAAGCCCTAAGCCCTAAACCCTAAACGTTAGGCACTAAACCCTGTAAACCCTAAACCCTAATCCCTAAACCCAAAGCCTAGCCCCTAAACCCTAAAACGTAAGCCCTAAGCTCTAAACCCTAGGCGCTAAACCCTGTAAACCCTAAAAAACCCTAAGCCCTAAACCCAAATCCTAGCCCCTAAACCCTAAACCCTAATCCGCGTTAAAAGAAGAGCCTGCTCCTGCAAAGAAGCCCAGGCACAGGTCTTCGGTGACGCGACTTGGCTTTGTTTGGGGCTTTCAGGCTTTTGAGGGTTTAGGGTTTAGGGGTTTAGGGGTTTAAGGGTTTTTTTGAGGTTTTGACTGAGCTTCTAAGCTGCCTGTGGTTGTTAGAGAGTGTTGGGGGCTTGTTTTGGGGAGCCTTGGGGTTTATTAGGGTTTTTAGGGTTTGTGGGTTTTGAGGGTTTAGGGTTTAGGGTTTAGGGTTTAGGGTTTGTGGGTTTTGAGGGTTAGTGTTGAGTGTCCAGGGGGATGCGTGCTCTTTGCGAAACAGGACAAAGCCACAGGTTATTGGGCTTAAGGGCCTCGAGGGTGAACAACTTCTTGTGGTTGTCATCATCAGCATTATCCCATGGGGGTCTACACTCCCCCCCTCCATACTCCCCCCCTCCGGAAAAACGCCGGAACAAGGACTGAATAAGGCTTCGTGTCTTCGGTTTGGGGTTGCATTATCATCGCAGATGAAAACCTTTAACAGTACAACGTCCAGCACGGTACTTCAAGCTTGAAGGCGGGATTTCTTGAATTTAGTCCCCTTTGACATCGCATGGAAGTCTGCGGGAAAAAGTCGTCCCGAAGATCACCTGTAAGATGCGCCCAAAACCACCAAAGCCCCAAACACCTAAGCCTTAAGCCCCAAACCCTAAACCCCTAAACCCATCCCTAGGCCCTCAACCCTAAACCCTGATCAGGTTTAAGGGTTTCGGGGTTTAGGGGTTTAGGAAGTTTAGGGGTTTAGGAAGTTAAGGGGTTTAGGAAGTTTAGGGGTTTAGGAAGTTTAGGGGTTTAGGAGGTCTAGGGGTTTAGGATGTTTAGGGGTTTAGGATGTCTAGGGGTTTAGGAAGTTTAGAGGTTTAGGATGTTTAGGGGTTTAGGAAGTTTAGGGGTTTAGGAAGTTTAGGATGCTTTGGGCTGATCCCTAAACCCTAAACCCTAAACCCTAAACCTTGCAGGCTGACGTCCCTCGCCTTGAGCGGCTGTGTGGAGCCCATGCCTGGTCCGACAGGCTCGAAGAGCTCATGTGGTTAAACCCTAAACCGCAGGTAGCGGGCGAGGTTGACGCAGTGCACCGCAGAGCCCAGGCAGAAAAGCCCGGGAGCCCAAGAGCCCGAGCCTCAAAAACCCGAGTAAGGGTTTAGGGTTTAGGGTGTAGGGTTAAAGGTTTAGGGTTTAGGGTTTAGGGTTTAAGGGTTAAGCCCTAACCCCTAAAAGCCCCTAAAAACCCTAAAAACCCTGACTAAAAACCCTAAACCCTATAAACCCTAAAAACTTAAAAACTAGAAACCCTAAAACCCTAAACCCTAAACCCTAAGCCCTAAAAACCCTAAACCCTAAAAGCCTTAAAGACCATGAACCCAAAAAGCACTAAAAACCCCTAAGCCCTATAAACACCAAAAACCCTGAGCCCAAAAAACTAAACACCCTAAACCCAAACACCAAAAACCCTAAACCCTAAAAACACTAAAATCCCTGAACCCGAAAAAACTAAACCCTATAAACACCAAAAACCCTGAACCTGAAACTAAAACCTAAACCCAAAAAACCCCAAAGCCTTACACCTGCCCGCAGGGACCTCTCCGTTCGGCTACGCGCTGCAGGCCGTGGACGCGCTGCAGGAGTTGGACATCGGAGACTTCGGGGCCTGGCGGTCTTGTTTCATGGGGGGCTGAGGGATTGGGGATTTTAGGGTTCAGGGTTTAGGGTTTGGGATTTAGGGTTTAGGGTTTAGGGTTTAGGGTTTAAGGTTTAGAGTTTAGGGTTCAAGGTTTAGGGTTAAGGGTTTACGGTTT